GGCAGTGTGTCCTTTACCTGTGGCAGTGAGCAGCAGGGAGCAGTCCTGCCCGTTCAGGTACTCCATGGCTGTGATCCGGGTGTACCGGGGGTTCCCGTTGTGGAAATAGTCCAATTTCTCCCCTTTCTCCCAGTCCCAAAAGCTGCAGGAGGAAGAAGAACAGAGTGTGAGTTTCCAGTTCTCTGTGCAGGCTGTGAAGGGATGCACTGCTTTTCCAGCTGCATCTCRTGGATATCAGCTCCAGTTGGATTTATCCTCTGGAGTTTGGCACTGTTGGATTGATAACATCACAGAGTCCTGGAATGGTTTGGACTGGAAGGACCTCARAGCSCACCCAGTGCCACCCCAGCCATGGCAGGGACACCTCCCACTGTCCCAGAGTGATCCAAGCCCTGTCCAGCCTGGCCTTGGGCACTGCCAGAGATCCAGGGGCAGCCACAGCTGCTCTGGGCACCCTGTGCCAGGGCCTCAACACCCACACAGGGCAGATTTCAGCACCAGCCCCTTCTGAGAGAAGCAGGACAGAGGTGCTGCCATCCCTGCCATGCCCTGTCCATGCCCTGTCCATGCCCTGTCCCTGCCCCAGCCCTCACCAGATGCTGTCCTTGTCGGCCACGGCGATGCAGGGGGTGAAAGGGTGGAATTTCACCACGGAGGGCACGCCTGGGTTCCTGTTGAGGAAGATCTGATCGTCCAACCGGGAGATGCCTGCGGGGACAGGGGAGCTCTGCTCACACCAGGGACAGGGCTGGCACTGTGCCAGTGCCACCCGTGCCACCCTGCCTGTCCCAGTGCCACCCGTGCCACCCTGCCTGTCCCAGTGCCACCTGTGCCACCCTGCCCATCCCAGTGTCCCAGTGCCACCCTGCCCATCCCAGTGCCACCTGTGCCACCCTGCCTGTCCCAGTGCCACCTGTGCCACCCTGCCCCAGCTCACCACGACACCCCCAGCCCTCCCCTCCTCTCACACCCTCCCGACTGCCTCAGGAAACCAAGAACTGTGGTGACAAATCCTTCACCCTTCACACAGAGAACAAGCACAGCCAAACCCAGGGAAATGCCAGTTTGTGTTGAGGGAAAACCCAACGCTATTTCTTCAAAATTTAAAATATGAAAATGCCCTTTTTTTTCAGTTTAAAATACAGCATTTCACTGTAGCTTGTGGATTATTTATTTAACCTTCCATTTCAGTTMCCCTTAAATTTTAGGTTAATTTGCAAATGAAAAATGTATTTTCCACGGAGACCTTAAAGTGATGGGTAAAGACTTTTCCCATCTTGTTTTCAGAGCAGTTTGCTATTCACAAACAGTGTTGGGACCCTGACACTGCTGTGTTTTGGCACACTCTGAATTCATCACACAAACCCCTAAGCCCAGGAGACACCCATTCAGCTCGAGTTTGTTTTAGAATGCATCCATTGAATCTAATTTTCATTAAAAGCTTGTAAGCCTATTTTAATTCTCCTTAATATTTCACATTTTCATTATTTTTTTAATGAATAGTGGCATTTTAGTCACTCAGGTCAAGCAACCAAATATGAACACCGGCTAGAAAGAGATTTAACTTCTCCAGGCAAGCGAGAAAAATCCCCTTCTTTGTATTCCAGCAGATCTCCCAGGCCATCTCCTGGGCTCCAGGATCATTTCTGCATTTCTCTGGTTGATGATATTTTGCAGTTTCCCGGCACGAAGCTCCACGCTGAGCTCACTGAGCATCCTCCCAGTGCCAGGGCTGAGCCCTGGGCATTTTTCCTTCATCCCCCTGGGGCTGCCAGCTCCGTGTGCCCCCCAAAGCATCCCCTGGCACTCTGGGAATGCCAGGGGAGGGTGCCAGGAGCTCCCTGAACTGTGGCTCCTCAGCCTCTGCTGCTCAGCACGGATAACTGAGGAATGCAAATTCCTCGGGAAGCTTCATTAGCTTCCACTTTATTCCAATCAATTCCTGTGCTGRGAGAATTGCAGCCCCAGGCTGCCTCAGAGAGGCCTAAGGAGATGCAGCRTTGGGTTCCTGGGGAGCTCCCAGTGACGCAGCTCAGACCTGGAGCAGCACTCACAAACCACACACAAAATATTCAAAATATAACGGGATACACGGGGCAGAGTCAGTGACAGAGCTCAGCAGAGCAGGGGACATCAGGGACATCCCTGAGGTGGCTCTCGAGCAGMGGGGACAGCTCCAGCAGCTCCAGGGCTGCTCTGCCCTCTCTGTCTCACATCAAACACTGAGCCTGCAGCTCTGGAGTTTATCCTGCAGCATTCCACCTTCCATCCCTTTCAAAACAGAGCTGGTGACAAACCCAGAACTGAGGACAGAAWTGGGGGGAGCTGCAGTGAAACCCCTGAACAGCATCGGGAGGGAACCGGCACCAGTGAGAGGGGTCAGAACTGAGCGGGGTCAGCAGCGATTTGGGACACCACTGATTGGGGTCAGCACCAATTTGGGYCAGCACTGATTGGGGCCAGCACTGCCCAGGGTTTTCCAGCTCCRTTCCTGGCCTGACTCACCCTTCTGGATGATTTTCTGGGCCTGTTTCCTGACGCGGGCGTTGCGCAGGAAGCGCCACTCGCGCTCTTTGCGGATTTGGCTCTCCAGGTCGTGCTCCTCGGGGATCTGCCGGGACAGCAACGCACACACAAAGCACAAGCAGTGAGCAGCACAACCCCAGGAATTAGCTGAGTGATCCCACAGTGCCCGTGGCTCCTGTCCCCTCTCAACACTGCAGCTCTCATCTCTGACAACACAGATTTCRCTCTTAACTCTCCTCAGCTGAAAAGCATCACGTAGCAACCCTGAGATCAAAGAGGGAGCACAGCCCTGGTACAGCCAGCTCAGAACACACTGAAACCTTTTTTTCCTGCAAATCATGGACTGCTGGCCGAGCAGGGCACGGCTGCAATCCCAAATCCCCGGGATGCTCAGCTTCCCACCCCCATTTTCCAGGAACTGCCCCTGTTTGGGTTCCCTGCTCCAGAAAATGATGTTCCTTTGTCACCTGGCTTTGATTATACACAAAATTCCCCCCGAAACTGAGARTGGCCCTGCAGTCACAGCCCCTCTGAGCCGTTTGATGGGATTTATTCCCACCCCACAGCTCCAGGTTTCAGCACTCCATGGCTCCCCTGTGCCCCGGGCACCAGGCCAGGCTGGCACTGGGCACCCCCACCAGGGCTATTCCCACCCTCACTCGAGCACAGGATCCAAAGGGATCAGCTCATCCCACCCCAAACCACAGCAGGAGCTACACAGGAGSTGTTTGTAATGCTTAAAAAATGATCCAAGCCTGCCCTGCTCCAGAACCATCCTTGGATCARTGAAGGAGCTGAATTGTGCTCCAGCTTCCTTTGATGCTGACTGCTCCAAAGGAGAAACTCTTGGAGAAGGAAGACAAAATCCTTCCACTCCTTCTSTGTGCCCCAAAACACCCCCTTTTTGCCCTGAATAAGAAAGTCCTTAAATCATCTGTCACTACCACAAACACTGCCTTCAAACCACGTTAACCTTTGGAAAACAGCTCTTGCTGAGCTGGACTTCTGCTTCTTTAAAATAAATAAAAAATAAAAGCCCACCCTCTGCCTTTTCTCCTGGCAAAGAAAAAAGCACTTTATTTCAGCMCAACACTTATTAGAAAGGCAATGACAAACGACCCCTAATGAAAAGCAATAAACAAACCTGAGCTAAAATACATCAAAGGAATTTGAGAGGGGAGAGATGACACCTACACCTTGATGAAAATCCAGCTTCTCTGGGAATAAATTCAAGAAAGCTCAGGGAAGAGCCCTTGGGCGACCAGTGGAGAGCCAGAGAATGCAGGTGAAGCTGTCCTGACCCCACACCCACCCACCTGAGGGGCTCTGGGGGTCACCAGGGGTGCCAGGGGATCTGCCAGGGGA